AATTGCAGCTGTCTGTGCTGCTTGGCTGTCAGTCAATTAGACATTACTGCTCTCCCTTCCAAATGATTAATCCGTGTTTGAATGCCTATTTCCCATTCTGACAATCTCATCTTGATGATGGTTATCATTGCTTAGTTGTTCGTTTAACACATCTATGATGATGCGCATTAATTTAAATGCATACTTGACCGACAACAACCTTTTGTCCCAACTTTTGTTGAATGTCTATTCTTTTTTTCATGGCAAGGTATTATGTGAACTACAATCACGAGGATGCTAAGATATGAACCTTCTAGATTTCATCAAACATCTCAGCTCGTAATGAACAGTATTCAGTTGAAATAGCAGATTCTCAAATCTACGCATATTTACAAATAGGAGACTAGTTTGCCTGCTCTGCTACGATGAAGTTTTAATCATCCGGCACTTCGAAATCTTTTTTTAATGCTTTTTGTTGTCGAGATTCATATTTCGAACTCGGAAGCTGCTGAACACGCAGAAGTGTTTACAGCAGGACTTGATGGTGCCTTCCAATGTAGCGTTCTCTTTGGAATTCTTAAAACTTTCGTAATATGTTGACATTTCCAAACACATCTTGGCCAATATTAATTTTTCCATAGTCTCCGTTATTTTTTAATAACAGTGGCGTTGAAAAGTTGAGAACTTGGTAGACTTATAAAACACGCTTTATTCCATCGGCGTAGAGGTTATGATAAAATGTTATGCCACCATTAAATTTGTGTAAAATGCAAAGTATGAAAAGTTTTAAGTGAAATTTTATTTCATGTTTTCGAAAGTTTTGACGCGTTTTTTTTTTGAGGATAGTGCATGGACTTGGTAAGGTCATCACCGATTACCAGCTAGTAGTTTTTCTCTAACCAGGATGACAGTAAGGCCTGGCATTAGTTTGCACTTAACTGGGCTCGCGGGTGAAAATATCGAATCTTTTGCTTGGGTAACTGTACGGGAGATGAATCCTAGCTGTAAATGAGAGTCCTATATCTGGGAACACCCATGTCATGTTGAGGCGGTCCTTCGAAATCATGATAGTGAAATGGTTTCTGTGTATGAAATATGGGCGGCAACGAGGAACAACTAAAAGTTTTTGGTACGGCTCACAAAGGGGCATGATGCCATTGCTATGAATTAGGAAGAGCTGCTTACCTTTCGGGCAAAAATCTTTGGATTCTAATCGTTTTTATTTCTACTAACATAGTGTACTATTAGCTGGGATATGTCCGCTGGAAATTTGGTGACACCACTGTTTTAGGCTTGCATTGAAATCAATGCACTTGAGTCACATTTCGTGGAACTAGTTCCGAAAATTTAAGTAAAATAAATGCTTTAGAAATGATATAAGAATCCATAATATCTAGGGATAAAGTGAAATATTTTCAATAAGCATATTAATTTCTCAATTTTTCAAGGACTATAGTCATGGGACAATAAGAGGCATCGATCAGGAAACGACCACTGTTAATAAAACTATTGATTTTCGCAGTTTTCTAAGGAGATTTCTTCGATCGCAGTCACTCTTCTATCAAATTATCGATGATTGGTCACTCTTAGTCCATGTCGTATCAAACTGTTGCTGTCCGATAGCGATTTTTCCTCTCGTTTTTCGTAGTAACTCTTCTACAAATTTTGTCACCGTCTTGTTAATTTGCATTTGTTCTGTTTTTTGACGAAATTCTAAGGACTTTGATGTTCGGTCATCTTTTCATGGCAGGTATTTTGTCACGTTGTCAAAGTTTTGCGTTTATTTCGAAACGATAGAAGTTTTTCGATACTTCACCTGCTTCTCACTGCCATTTATTCCGTTTTTTACGTGCGCCAATCTAATTTCACTCCATTATGTAGTCGTGCTTCTACTATTGAAACTAGCTGGTCAATTTTTCCGTGGACTCTCGCCACTTCATTGAAGCTCTGTGGGGAATACAAACAAGAAAATACAAATGAATTCGGTAGTTGGCGTCTGTTCGAACAGACTGGCTTTGTGCTCGTCGTCCACTTGTTATTTCACAATGGTCATTTCTTCGTCTTTCGGTTGAAGTATAGCGAAAACGTCGGCCATGTTTATTTCTCATACTGTTATTTCTCTGAGATTTCATACACTTTTCATTGGAAAGTTCTTCACCTCTTTAAAAGAAGCATGTTATGTTTCTTAAAATGACGTGCTAACCCTCAGTACGGTGTTGTGTTATGAAGAAAGTGTCAAATTCATTCAGTAATATTTTTAGTTATATTTTTCCTGTTCCATATCGCCCCATTCTCTTACCATTGTATTGCTGGACGTTATTTACTCCTTTGAGTACATGAAGTCCAATAAGTCCTTTTCTATGCTGGGAAGGTTAAAGAATCCTGAGATACCGGCTTTATTCTGTAGGGAGCAATGATTTCATCCTCTATCGCACCTTGTTCTTAAAAAGAAGAGGATGCTACGTAATCTTGAGGTTTCTTGAAGTGGTCCTTAGCTCATAGAATGTGGAGTTTTTTCTACCTTCAAGGTCAAGTTTCGTATTGACGTACTTTGTGTGGTATTTATTCAGCGTGTGGATCTTTTAGTGTGAAATGTCTCCTTGATCGGCCTTTGATTCGACATGTCTTCGTAAACGATAGAATTTGTAGTTCAAGAAGGGCATCAAACGTTCGGTTAATTCGAAGTGTGTTGCTGTAGGCCTCGTGATTGTTCGACACTCTGGATGTTTTTTATTCCTCACAAAATAGATGTGCATTTGCTGCCGATATGAGTATTAGATACTCCCTTCATGTCCATAAATTATGCACGTCTCAGCAAAATTCCTATCCGTTTCGTATTTTTGCGACCGAACTCATGAGGATGGTCCATTTTGTAAGATTTAAGAGCTGGCTCATTCTGTTGTTAAATTTATCGTTAGAGATTACATTTGGCGAAAGGAGCGGCCAACATCTCTTGTCATCTTGCAGATGGTTTCGCTTGAAAGCGCTTCCGTCTTTTCAATGTACATTCACCATTTTTCTTCTATGTCTGTCTGTCAACTCTTTTTATACTATGGGCCAACCATCAATCTTTAGGTTGCATATATTTTTACTACGCTGTGTTACAACGACAGTATATTTGACGAAAGAGTCCCTCACGCACGTGATTAACCCATCACTTGGTTTCTCACCTGTGCGGTTGATTTCCTTCCTGTATCAAATTATCGTCAATATCACACATTTTCCAAGTACTTTTTATGTTCACTGACCACCTGTTGGTGTACATAAGACATTGTCTTCATGATCGGCCAATCGCTTATGTTGACTCATTGATTCGTTTTTCGTCGTTTTTCAGGTTTCTTCACAGGGTGAATCGGATTCCAGTTGTTTTGCAATTTTTGCAATGAGTTATGCCACCAATGCTTTATAAATTTTTTTCTTACTTCAGTACTAAACTTTTGGAAAGTTGCTAATATAATCGGAAAGGTACCGTCTCGTTTGAATTCCACATCAGTTCTTTTCCTGTTAGTTTAACGAGAAACTGTAATTTCGTGGTTGTTTTGCTAAGAGTTGGCTATGGTCTTTTTCAAAACGGATCCCTTCCTTAATGTACAAAAACAATATAAAAATATATTAGTATTCAGCAACTTTCAACGTGCTACGTCCATGAGAGCTGTGCTGCACGCCCTCTGTACGAATTTGGATTGCGTATCTAGTTGTGTTTTGTTAATAGCTTTCCATCCCTTTATCCTAATTATTTCTATACTTCGTTTTATAAAGGTGTTTTCATTGGGTCATGTTTTGATCATATCCTCTGTATTCTTCCTCTCAAACTCAAGAGCTACTATTTTCGAGCTTGTATCTGGATGACATATCACACAAAAAGTGTGTAATCCATGGAAAAATTAGGACACAATTGGTAAAACTGCGACAGAGATGTTATACAAGCAGGCTTATCTTTCTATGAAATGGTTCAGCCATCGTATCAGTCGTATCACTGGAAGACTGTCATACTTATCGGTGGTTTTCTTCATGGGTGGTGAGTTTTCAACGAAAGTTGGGCTATTGGTAGAAGTTTTAATCTCTTGAATTAATGTGTGTGTGTTTTTTTTTGAGCGGACACGATGTTGTTAGTACAAAATTTGTCCAACAATGGCTAGCGTTTCTGCAGTTTCACCTTCATTGGAGCCTTGAAAAGTCAGCGTTGACTTCCGGTTTGTGATCAGATCGTTCTTCGCGTTGAATGCATCACGAATTATGATCATCTTCCATTCTTCGCAGTCTTTGATGTTGTAAACGGTATAACCCACAGTGTAAAGTACACTCACCAGGTTTTTCTACTCATCGGGGAAGATTTTTATTTAGGCTGCTTAACGTCTCGAGTGGAAACATTTTCAGATCTAGTCGTCACTATAGGTAGTCATCGTTTAGTTTCTATCACTTTCCTACTTTGAGCTTAAGTACATTTTCTGCTGAAAGAAATTTCTGTTTAGGTTTTTATAATGAGACTTGCAGATTTAAACCCTGGCTCTTTAACAGCTTTTGTTCTTCTTCTCAGTTGTTAGGGTCGTTTGGTTAAATCTTGGTAGAATACCGTGCCGACCTTTTTTTTTTTTACTCTAGTGCGCTGTGCTTTAGAGAAAGCATTGTTGGTTCTAATAATTGTGAGCTTTTCAAATACAATCATCCTTAGTAAAATGTGCGCTATCACTTTAAAGAAACCGTCCATTTAAATGCAGATGAGTCCTATACCTATCAGTTGAATCAGCTATGCATAAATGGGCTCATTATGCTGTCTATTTCCAAATTCATGCTTTCTATTTCTTTATATTTTGTCGGCAGTGCTTTCTATCTTTCCATATGAGAAACATTGGATGTGTTTGTTGCGTAATGCTTTTTCTTTCTTTACAACCGCACTCGTTTTCCTTTTTCGGTTCGATTCCGAAGTATGAAACGTACAATTGCAGTGTGGTGTTATGAGCCCGTGATATAAGGATCAGTGGATCTCTGTTTCTAATCGTCTGCTTTTCATATCTTGTGTGATGCCGTTGATGAGATATTATGACTACGATTACTATGACAGCACTAATAGCACAGCCAAAGCAATTTCGTCACGAAGTGGATCCTCGGCCCCTCTTAGTCACCTGTGTGACGTTTACCACAGTTACCATCCATCTTGTGATCTGAATCGAAGTTTGTACACGACTCCATCGGGTTGTTCCGTGAGCTATCGAATGAATATGACAATCCATGATTTCGAAAACTGTGGCGACTCGTCGTTTTACGATAGCAGCATGATGCAGAAGAAAAAGAAAAGTCGGGTGCGGTTAGCACTTAAGGAGCTAGTTGGGAGACCGTCACGACGCGACTCTTCTGCTCGTTTGGACTCATCCAGAAAGGATGCATATCGAAGCGAATCTCCGCGAAAACGTAACGGCTTTTCTTCCACAGCTATGACTACTTATTCGACGTTAACACCAAGAAATGTCTATAGAGCGCCAAGTGCCGACATGGTTGCATTTTCATTTCCGTGGTTAGATTCACGTCGAGAACGACGTCAAGGAAGACATCATCCTTCAAATCATGGATCTGTCAAAGTGGAGAGCTACGCCGTTACTGAACCCAGAGCCGTCGAATTTGGCATAGCTAACAGAAGTAAAAGAAGTAAACGTTAGTATTTTATTTGTGTTACTTTCAGCGTTATAGTTTGTGTTTGCAAACGAATTTGTTTGCTATATTCGGATGTTTATATTTACTACTTTTAGTATCAGGAATTTTATTACCTGGAATCGGAAGATAAATATTATTAGGTTATTAAGTATGAAATATCCGATTTTCAAAATGGTGTTTAAAAGGCTATAGCTTGTTGGAATTAATCTGTATTAATCAGGATATGAACCACTGTAATCAATATGTTTTGCCAACGTGTTGTGAACTTAAATATTCTATGCGCTTGTAAGTTCGTATCTGTGAATCTGATAATTGTTTAATGCCTTTTTAACGCCTCTTAATCCAGTTGTTTGAAGAAGTAACAATCCATTGGTGATATGTCGTTAAGGTGCACAGGACAGATTTTCATAAATACAATAACCTGTTTAGCTTCTGGACCACCATTTGGGACTCGAACATTCTTAATCGTTTTGGCAAAATTCACAAATTTTTAGTAACCATCTCTGCTTACAGAGCCCGCGTGAAATTGTAGTACTTCTTTAAGCCATGATTGGCTTCAGAAAGACTGCAAAGTATTTCTGGTTGTCGTACCAAATTCATTTTTAGTCGAATGTACAATGAATTCAAGAAACAATCTGCTTCTGCTATGCAAAGGAAAAGAGAAGCGAATTCAATAACCGGCAACCTCTTTCCTTTTTGTTCAACTCATGTGGCACCTAATTGCTGTTTTCGCCTTGTTTCGGTTGAGAAGCACCGAAACTGTTAACCCACCTGAATTCGGTTCTTCTGCAAACTTTCGAGATACCTTTCTTGGAAATGCTTTTATGACATCCTTCAAACACGCTGTTATCGGGACTAACCTCCCATGACCTGTACCTCGAAGGTTTTACTCTCTATCGAAAAATAATTGGATTAACTTTGCACCATACTGCCATACTAGTACGTTAATCAGATGCGATTTTGATATTCTTCTTTTTTAATTTTACTTCCACGTTTGGATCTTTACAGAAAACTGCTGGACTTCTATTTCTTACAGTTTTATTCCAAAGACATATTGAATACAAGTTTATGTAAAAACAGAATGCAGAGCGATGCGCTTAGAAGATGTGCAGAACATTCATGAAGGAGAAATTATTTTGGCAAGGAAATATGTGGACGTCTAAAACTTCCATTCAGAGAAATCGGACGTTCCATCTTGAGTAACTAATTGTTATTTTTTTTATCCACATGCTGAATTCTGTTTCCATTTCAGATGCGTTTGTTAACAGCCATGAATGGACACTCAGTCGATCTGTCAGTGAACTGCGATTGGTGAGTCTTTTTTTTTTTTACATACCTTGTATTGGTATCAACCTCTGTCGTTCTTGTTACAATCTAACCTTTTTGGAGAACTCGTTTAACTTACCATTAAATTAGGTTTTTGAATAGTGATTTTCATTCAGGATGGAAACCTAGTACTTCTTCATGCATACCTTCGCTCATTGAACATGTTATAGTACATTTTTGAGAATGTAGTTAAAGAACAAGATTGGATTCATTGGTTAATTGGTCATAACTCTGATCAAAGCAGCTTTTTCAAACAATAAGTTCTATTGGTGCTCTAGGATATTTACTCAAATGTTTGATTGTTCCTGCACTTGGTACTTGCGGCTTGGGTCGTCGCTGCCAGTGGCACTTTCTCAGTGATTAGATTGGTGTAGGTCGTCTCTCTGGCCTATATGCGCTACACTTTTCCTTCTACTCTTAATGATTTCCTATTTAACCATACCTTTATACAAATTTTTCTTTTCTAAAATTTTCTTGTGATAACGTAGATATTAAGAAAAGAATAAAATTTCCCGCTTGGAATTGTTTTGGAACTGGGGGATAAATGGGGAACTGTTTTGATCATATCCTGATGTTCTCTCTATTAATGATTTTCTCAACATTCTTCCACTTCCTGTTTTCCACACTGGTATCGAACATAAAATTATTCGCTGAATTTGAGTTCAATCTAACTTTCTAGGCAGAATTACTCCTCAGCTTGTCTCAGTCCACCCTGAGCAGTGGTAGAGCGGTTTCGAATCGTGGATCGATTGTTTTTTGTTTGCTTTGTATGTCTCAGAGTACTCTAGCGAGAGTTTGGTGTAACATTTGGTTTCGAGAAATAATATGATGACCGTTCTTTGGTTAATTGCTAGCTTGTCGTGCTTTATTGCACGAGTTCAAATAAAGCACTGAGGTCAGACTGATCTCCGCGTTACCATTCAAATTACACCTTTGCAATAATCGCAGGTGATGGCAGTGTTGGTCTCTGAGTGCAACGCTTGTATTGCGTAACAGTAAGGAAGTCATGATTACGTATTAACACCTGCTGTCGTGATGCCATTACAACCGAAAGTATTCCGCTTTTTGCAGCAGCACACTGTCATTCTGTTTGGAGATGGTTGGACTCTCAGTGAAGATCTGAAATACAATTTTACAATGAATGTTGGTCATGTAGCTAAGTGACAAAGGTGTCGATATTCACAGTAGGAATTGAAATCTTTAATAAGAAATGTAGAAATCAGTGCAGTTTTCACAATAAAGTACGTAGTTATGAAATTTTGTGTGATATTATGGATTGTTTATCGTTTGAAGTCTACTCATTTTCATCATCTAATTGAAATCTCATTCACTGTCTGCGAATCAGTTTGTTAGCCCTCGGTCTTCATTTTATTGGAGCTTGGATGAACTTTAACAGCTTAAAAATTTCCTAAGAGGTGTTACTGATAAGGTTTGATGAAGTCATACGTTTTGATCAAGTTTGCTAGCCAGGGTTTCCTCTATAACGGCTTTCTGGCATTGGGTGCCAATGAGCCGATATCATTGCACGTAATCCGTCTTCTAAGGTTATATTTTTTGATTGCGTTATATGATATTATTGTGATTGAAGTTGGTCGTTAAACGTAGAAGAAGTTATTGAGCTAAGATAGACGCGTTGTAAATCTTCGGCCCAAATATGTCAATCATGCGTACGTGCGCAACGTGACGCGTTCACACCTCGTCGCTGACGGGACACGTCTGCTTCCCGACGGTTATTGTCACGATCTCGCATATTCTTACTCAGGATATCATTTCATCCCTGTTTCCAGTTATGGTTCCCATGGAAGACAGCTAGAAAAGAAAAGCATAACTCTGTCCCGAATACTAGTCAAAGTTTTGAAGTTTTTGGACTCTGTAGCAGTGTACATTAAGTAGCGCATTTCTTCCAGCTAATATTGCCCACCACCCAGTGCGACAAATGCGTCAGTAATTATAAGCAGTATTAACACATTCGGGTCTAATGTCAGTCAGTCATATGCGAAAATAAGCGCTTCGACCAACTTTGAACCACCATATCTCAAATCAGAACGAATTTTTTGGTTGACATTAAACGTGTTAGAATATTCTTACAAGGTACATTTCTTTTTCTAACATAATGAAATTCCTATTTTCTGGAAAATAGAAGGTTTCAATGTTTTTCATCAATAAGCAGACACGAGGTTGTTAATATAGAATTTATTAGAACACAATTGCTGACGTTTCGGCGGCTTCGCCTTCCTCAGAGCCGTTTATTTGTTGTAAGTATTTAAGTTAGTTGGTGGATAGCCGCCGCACAGAGTAATACATGGTCGATAACTGGGTCCATGTCAGATCATTGGATCTGCTTATTGAAGAAGTTATCGAGTCCACCAACTAACTTAAATACTTACAACAAATAAACGGCTCTGAGGAAGGCGAAGCCGCCGAAACGTCAGCAATTGTGTTCTAATAAATTCTATATTAACAACCTCGTGTCTGCTTATTGATGAAAAACATTGAATTATCAATTAATGCCGAGGTTAACAGAAAGTCGGTCATGGGAATAGAAGGTTTTTCACTTTTTTCCACCCAAGGAATGTATTTCGAGAGTGAAAGCGATTACATAACCGGAATTTCGTCCAGCAAAGCACAATGTTGTCTTCCATTGTTTTGTTGGTTTTTGTGGCTGCCGCAGCTCTTGTGTGGAAGTGAAGATGTCAAGTGGAAACTCGATACCGCTGGTTGCCTCCTCTATTTCCGTTTCCATATAAGTTGATAGGAAGAGAAGATTCACTCTCACTTTCTTCATATTCGTTATCGTTATCATTGTTATTGCCTCATCTGTACGGGGCCGGTTCAGTTCTCGAGATCTCATCTTCGATCTCCCTTTCTTCGAACTGCCTATCTTCCATATCGAGGTGCTTCGAATGATGACATCTATCTTTTTGTTTCCAATTCTTTGCACTTTGGTCCGAGTTGTAAGAATCTAATTACAATGTGTCAGAGTCGTGCACCGTTTACCCACTGTTTATGTTTGCTGTTGATACTATTTCCCATCGAGTGTCGCAAACGGGTACAGGTAAAAATTGGTGTCGTCCATGCTACGCATAAGAGCTCCCCAGCACACCGAAGTCTCTCGAGGGACTGATAGATCATTACACCTTTCGTACTAGGCACTTTTTTACAGTTTTGATGATAGGGTTTTGGCAGTTCGCAAATACTTTCCATCTGAGTTGGTGTGTACATTTGCAGTAGTTTGTATGACTCTATCACAACACTACGAGTAGAGCTTGTTGTAGGTGACTCAAAATCGTCTCCCGTATACTTGTCAGTCACTTGATTTCAGATTTTTGGCTAAATCGATACAGGAAAACATACAACTTGTATACCTGCAAACCAGAAAACCAGAACCACGCAGATATTCATTAATGTGAATGCTCACATACGAAGTCCAGAAGACAAACCAGTGTATCGTGTAGGTGGAGAGCTGAACCATTTGCATCATAGAGATTGCACGTAGATACATTTGATCTGTATTTAATCCCCTGCCTAGGGCGACACCACATAGCCTCGTCACCAACCGCTGGTACAAGATTGTTCACCAGTGAGTTGTCTTTGGTGTCAGGTTACAAAAATCGTTGACCATAACGTAACCTTGCACAACCATACGGGATTTGAACTGCTTAATTATATTTTGTCAAGA